GGGCCCTGCTGCAGGCTGCTGGGATCCCTGGCACTCTATCACTTTGATTTTTTCTGCTTGCCCCTCCCCCAGCGCTGGCTAGCCAGGTTTCSTTTTGGCTGCTACTGGGAGGAGGGGTTGGCAAACTCCTTTCCTTTAGGTATAGGATCTTGCAGGCCCTTCTCTACAGAGACTATCCTCCTATCCATCTCTATTTGTTCAAATTCAGCCATCAGTCATGGTCTATCTGAAATGTCAACCTCTTTCCTTTCCCCAACAGTCAGAAGTGAGTCCTCCCTCTTTGCAATACTCATGACTTCTGTTACACTTCTGTAGCATATTCAGTATCCAGTACTATCATCATCATCATCATCATCATCATCATCATCATCATCATCATCTGCACTGTACTTATCTTGGTCTCCTGACTATAATGGAAGCCTACATATTCATTCATCCACTCATTAAACAAAAAAAATGTAGAAAGTCCTAGGTACTACACACTAGATTAAGTGCTGCAGATATAGTAATGAATAAGAGAAACAAGCACAGGTTCTGAGTGAAGGACCTGTCGTGCTTCTTTTCAGTTCCTCTGCAGGACCTGGGGAAAATGTCATGTACTTAATAAGTGTTCAACTGGAATTTGTTGAAATGAATTGAGATGCATTCGTTCACATTTACAAAGCGTCTACTTCCTGGCAACTCCATTATCCTATTTGTGTCATTCTATTAAATAAGTATTAGAGATATATTCATTCAAAAGGCACACTAAAATCAGAATGTATACTGAGCACTAAACATGTCTTCTCCCTTTCAGTTAACTCTAAATCACCAAGTTTTTATTTTGAAAAAGTACTCAGATATACCTCTGAATTTACTTACCTGGGTAACTGCTGAAAGAGAGGCGACTACTGCTGGTGTCATTATCTTTGATGTTGAAGTCCCAGTGTTTATATATCCTGAGCATGGCTGCGTAAGTGTACCAGCTTGAGTGAGCAAAAAAGATGTTCTCAAATCCAGGAAGAACCTGTAGCCAGAATCATAGTGAGTGACACAAAGACAGATGGATAACTGACTTCAATAGTAAGTGTAGGAAGCATGGAGAAGATGTGTCAATTTAGGTGTTTACTGTTATCTTTATCATCAAAAAATATGGCCAAGGAGTTGAACATTAACTTTACTGTGCACAAAACAGATGTCTTAACATTCCAAATGAAAGGGAAGCAGAGGAAATAGCTTCAACTTCCAATTCCCTCCATCAAAGTTCCTTCCAGTTCTCAACTTTTGCCATATCAGGAAGAATACCAGGAACTCATGAACTGATACATCATCAACTGATATTCAGCCAGGGGTGATGAGATGTTGCCATTCTTGGGTGCCATACAGAAAACTCTGTGTGAACCAGGGAAAAGATAGGAGCTTCTATGTCTTACCTTGATAAGAGCAGAACAATGTCCCATGTCCCATCTCTTGAAAACCTTCATGTTGTTGCTTTTTGTGGGAGAAAAAGAGGGAATCAGATCCAGTAGATCTCCAACAGCATTTAGGAACTGAATCTGGAACATGGTCATGGGCTGGGAGAGAACACAGACTTAGCATCACTTTGTGACACATGTCATTTTCTAGTTTTCCTTTTGTTAAGGCGCCATTAAATTATCCTATTGTGAAGAGTCTCTTAAGTAACAAATGTCCTGGATTTTTTAACTTAACAAAATAATTCTTGTGGCTTTATAAATTAGAAGAGATGTGTTAGCATGTCTGATATCCACAGATATTTGGAATGTCTTCTTAGAAAACAGAGCTTTCTGTTTGCTTTTCTCTATAACAGGTTTTCTCAACTTTGGCATTAGTTATATTGTAAGGCAGGTAATTCTTTATTTTGGGGGGCTGTGCCCTGTAAGATGTTTAGTAGTACCCCTGACCTCTACCCTCTGGTTTTTCATAGCAGCCTTCTAGGTTTTTTATTTTTGGTTTTGGTTTTGGGGTACCAGGGATTGAACCCAGGGGCACTCAACCACTGAGCCACTCCCTAGCCTTATTTTGTATTTTATTTAGAGAAAGGGTTTCACTGAGTTGTTTAGCACCTTGCTTTGTTGAAGCTGGCTTTGAACCCCCAATTCTCCTGCCTCAGCTTCCTGAGCTGCTGCACCCAGCCAACCTTCAAGTTTTGACAACCAAAAATATCTCCTCCAGACATTGCCAAGGCAGAAATCACCCCAACAAAAAAACTTTTACAGCAAAAATTTCAGTATAATGGTTCTGATTTTGATTGTGTGCTTAACATAGAATGAACTGATGAGAAGGCGCTAACCCTGAAGTAGCTGTCAGATCGCACTTGAGTGTGAACGTTTTAGAGTTCACAGCTCCAGCAAGGTGCAATCTACCAGCATATCTCTAGGCTGGGGATCTATAAACAAACTGGCTTAATAGAGGTGGGGAGAGGAATGAATACAAATGACATTTTAACAAAAAAGTAAAATAAAAGCAAAACCCCCCAACCTGATAACTTATTTACATAAATATTCTCTTAGTTTTGCTTTTTTGAATAAGTAATACATTCATTATTCAAGAATTAAACAATCATAAGAAGGTCTTTATTGGATAGTCTCTTATTCTCCATTTGCTTTAATTTCATTCTATCTCATTTATCATTTCTACTAATTTCTTTTGTGTATCTGCAATTTTTTTAAAATGACATATACATACATTTTTTTTTAACACAAATGGTAGTGTTCTATATGAACTACCCTTCACCTTGGTTTTTTTCCTTCATATCTGGGGTCTTTTCATATTGGGTATAAAAATCCCACCCATTCTTTTAAGTAGCATTTCAATGTATGGGTGTATTATAATACTTTTAGCTACTGTTTTGTTGATGGACTTTTCAGGTTTGTTCTAGCCTTTTGCTATTATAAACAATACTATTATAATACTTGTGCTATTATAAACAATAATTAATTATGGATGCATTTGAGTCTATGGGTAGAAGAAATTCCTGGAAATGATTTTGATTTTAATTGATATTGCCAGATTGTTCTAGAGTTGTTGTTTCAATTTACACCCTTCCAGCTTCAATAACATTTTAAATATTTAGTTTATTTCCAATCTAATAAGTGAAAACTCTATCCCATAGTAATTTGAACTTGTATTTTTTGTTTGCTTGATTTAGGTAAGTTTGAGCATATCTCTAAAAACCTTTGAGTTTGTTTTCTGTAAACTCTTCATATATTTCATTTTTCTACTGGGTTAGTTCTTTATTTTTTTTCCCCCTTGACTTTTAGGAGCTCTTTAAATAATTAGCAAGATTATCTTTCTGGTTTGTAATTTGCCACACACAATTTTAGTGTGTGGTAGGATCTCAGTGAGGTTTTAATATGCATTTCCCTGAAACTGAACATTTCTTAATATTTATGAGTCATTGCATTTCCTCTTCTATAAAATTCTGGTTTTTTAACCAATTTTTCCATTGAGTATTTTCTATTTTTATTCCATATGTATTTTGGATAAAAAATCTTGTTAGTTAAATGTATTGCAAATATCTTCTTTAGTTTATAGCTTATCTTTCACTTTCTATATAATGACTATTTAAAAAATTATTTTTACACATATTTTTAGTTGTTGATGGACCTTTATTTTATTCATTTTTTTATATATGGTGCTGAGAATTGATCCATTCTCACACATGCTAATCATTCTCATGAGTGCTAGGCAAGTGCTCTACTACTGAGCCACAACCCAAGCCCCATATGATATCTTTTGATTAAAAGAATAATTTTTATTGATAAATTCAGCTGAGCTTATCAATCTTTTTTCTTCATTGTAGTGCTCCTGTGTCTTAAGACACCATTGTCTACCTTAAGTCATATTCTGAAGAATGATCAAAGGTTACTTTGAGGGAATAAGTATTTTTTGAGGCAGTTACCTATATTTCAAGTTTAAAAGACTGCAAGGTCTTTACTTCATTAATTTTTCCAATGCTGAAAATTCTGGTGTCTGACATAATTACTTATTTGCCTTTTTTTTACTTTATCTATCCATTCATCCAAATCTATCAAATTTCCAAATACCAATACTAATACTATTACTAAGGTGAGATTATCACATACAGTTTAAGAAGGTTTTTGTTTTTGTTGTTGTTTGTTTTTTTTTTTTGGGGGGGGGCTTCTTTTTAGAACTGGGGGTTGAACCAGGGCTTTGCGAATGAGGCAGATGCTTTGCCACTGTGCTACATTCCGGCCCTTTATTGTTGCTATTGTTTATTTTTGGTGGTCTTTCTTGTCCCTAGTGTCTATCCCACTAAAGATGTAAAGCAGCAACAATTTCAATGTCACTTGAAATAACAGTTCTCTGTGTAGTTATGACATCACTTGTTACATAGTTAGATACATTTGTTTCAATTTGTTTTCAATTTTAGGGACTGCTTTTCTTCTCTGTGATTAAATGCATTTTACAATTCAAGAACAACATTTTTATGGCTCCTGAGTCAAAACTATAAAAAAGGTGCATTCAGAGAAATGTTGCTTTCATTCCTCTTCCCTCCATTCTCTTTTATTCTCTCTTCAAAAGGTAATTAATTATCGCTGGGTATAGTAGCCCATACCTGTAATCCCAGAGGCTGGCAAGGCTAAGGCAGGAGGATCATGAGTTCAAAGCCAGTCTCAGCAACTTAATGAGGTCCTGAGCAATTAGGGAGACCCTGTCTCAACTGTTTTCAAGCCACTCCTCATTGTTTTGTGCATGTCTTCCTTGTTTACTTTTTTAATTGGTGCATTATAATTATACATAATAATAAAACTTTTTACATATTTGTATATGCATATGCTATAAAATTATAATTTGGTTAATATTGTTCCCCAATACCTCCCATTTTCCTCCCTTCTACTTTCCCCCTTGACACCTTCCTCTATTCTATTGGTCTCCCTTCTATTTTCATAAGATAAATATACCCCAACTCCCCTGCCCTCCCTTTTCCTCTCTAGCTTCCACATATGAGAGAAAACATATGGCCCTTGATTTTCTGAGTATGGCTTATTTTGCTTAACATAATGCTCTCAAGTTCCATCTGTTTTCCTGCAAATAACATAATTTCATAATTTCATTTTTCTTATGGCTGAATAAAACTCCTAGTTCCATAATTTGCCTATTATGAATTGTGCTGCTATAAACATTGGTGTAAATGTAGTTCTTCAGTCAGAATGGCAGCCATCAAGCATACAAACAATATAATAATAATGTAGGGGGCAAAAAACATTCTTTACACTGTTGTTGGGATTATAAATTAGTACAACCACTGTGGAAATCAGTATGGAGGTTCCTGAAAAAAGACTAGAGATGGAATCACCATGTGACCCAGCTTACACCATCACTCCTTGGTATTTATTCTAAAGAATTAAACTCATTTCATTTTTTATATGAAAGACAGCCCACAATAACCCTGTTCTTCATCTTATATTTTTACACTTAATAACAAATCCCAAAGGTCATTCCCTAACAGCATTTGGAGGTCTACCTCATCTTTGTTCACAGCTACATTATTGACACAGCCAGCCCTCTATGTATCTGACTGCTTTCAGTCTTTTGCTATAATAAATTATCTGCCATGAATACACTTATAAATTTGTCGTATCGTATTTTTGCAGTGCAAAAGTGTATATCTTTGTGATAATACTGGAAGTGGGATTGCTGGGTAAAAATCAAATGTAAATATATGATTTGGATACAAAGTGACAAAAGTTCCCATTCACAGTGAACACACCAGTTTGCATTCCCACCAGGATTTTAGGAGAATGCTTTCTTTTCCCATAGCCTTGCCAACAGGGTGCACTTTCACATTTTGAAATTTTTGCCAAACTGGTGAGAAAATATTTACCAGTATGGATTTAATTTATATTTCTAATCTTACGAGCAGGGCTGAGCTCATATGATTAACAATCATGTGCATCATTTTTCTGTGATGGTATATATATACATACACCTCTCTCTCTCTCTCTCTCTCTCTCTCTCTCTCTCTCTCTCTCTCTCACACACACACACACACACACACACACACACACACCTACATACATATTACCTCCAGAAAACAAAATGCCCACAATAATTTTTGGAAGATATCCAATGGTACCTTGGAAGCCTCAATGATTCAGTAGTTTCCCCTAGAATTACTATGTGTATGTGTTTATATGGATGTTGTGGATTGTGGAAATCAGAACTTTATCCCTAGATATTTGTCTTAATTAGCCTATAGTTTAAAACACTAAAATCTTTACCAGGTTAGTTAAAAAACCACTATGTTCACATCATGTTTTAAAATTTCATCCTAACACAGTTGTATGAAAGAGTGGAAAAACAGAAACAAGTTGTTTATTTGTGTTTTGAACTTAAATTTTGTGTCAAACAGTGAGTTAGGTACTAGAATATGACAGATAAAATAATAGTGCTTATCCACAAGGAATTTATACTCTTGTCCTAATTTGATCTGCTTCTAAACTGGAATGTTACTTCGCAGTATTTTGACATATAAATTGAGCAGCTTCTTAAAAGTCATACCTTTGTTCCTTCTGCCATAGCCCTCTTCATTGCTCCTACATATAGCCCATCCAATTGTGCCACAATATAGCCTGTATGTCTCCAAAATGAGTCATTCTTGAATTCTTTGATGTTTTTCCGAGTCCACTGATTTTGCTTTCTGGAAGAGAAATCATATTTGTACTAGAGGTCTCAGTGGTGGCTCATCCAAAACTAAATCAAACCAGGCATTTAGAGATGACAGATGCTGATGCTAAAATTTAAGTTCTGGATCTTATAACATTACAGTTACTCAAAAGATTTCAGAACAAACCTTAAATGAATGTTAATTTCTCCCTCCTCTTTAATGGATTTTCTGGCTCATCTAGAACCAAAACACATGTGCAATATTAACCTATCTGTGATACCAAGAAGTGATACCAAACACAAATGCATTTCATATAAACTATGATATGTCAATAAGTCAATAAGAACAAGTTGAATTACATCTGTATGTAGAAATGGTAAAGTTAGACCACAAGAAATAAAACTCATAAAGACAAGGTGATTTCTAGATTTTATGCTTCTCTCTCAGATCATTTTCACAGCTTATGATTCATCTCATTTCTTTTTTCCATATTTTAATTGGTGCATTATAGTTGTACATAATGGTGAGATTCACTATTACATATTTGTACGTGCACACAATTGGCCAATATCATTTTATAGCACTTTCCCTTTCCCTTCCTTCCCTCCACCGGTGGTTCATCCCATTTCAATTGTTATTAATGTGCGTCTCAATGTCCCCTTCTCAATAGGATTAGCAAAAACCTCTTTTTTTTTTAACTTGGATTATTAATTTCTCCTTTATTAAGGTAACTAACAAGTGTTAGATCTTTATGTGTGATCCAAATAAAATACAGTGTTCAGCTCAACTCAGATTGACATATATACATTTGGCTTTAGTTACCCCAATGAAGCCCTCTTGTTAACATGGGTTAACACCCCCAAACTCCATCCAGAAAGCAAGGCACAGGGCTTAGGTCCACTCTTAGATTCTTCCCAAACAATTGAGAATATGCAAAAAAACCCACATACTTTTAAAATAATCCTTTTATTCTTTTTTCTTTCAGTTCTATCTGGGATGATCTGATATAACTTTGTATACAGAGAGCTATTTTGTTTGTTTGTTTGTTCAGGCTATTGCTAGATAACTCTTAAAATAATACAATGTCATTGCCTAACAGGATCTAACCTCATGGTTTTTAACTGATGCCCTGCAGGACTTGTAGCATTTCAAGAAGACTTTGCTTAGTGTGTGATTTGGAAGGCTAAACCAAGACCCTTTCTATCCGCAAATGAATCTCTTGTCATTCCACAAATTTAATCATATCTAAAATTTTAGTCTTCAGAAGCTTTATTAAAATGAAAATATTCTAATAGGATGTTGAGAATGATGACTTTAGGTATTAGCTGATATCCAGCCTGGGTATCCACCAGACCCAAGAAAAAGAAACAAGGAGGGAGCAGAAAGGCTCCCTGCAGGAAGCAGCAAGGCACCCATGCAAAAGGGATTCAGGGATTTAGCTTTGCCAGCTGCACACTGATGGTGTCCTCTAGCAGTGTTAGCAACCGACACTGTGACATTTAACTTGACCTTTGAAACAGCAGAAATTGGAGGATATGTTTTCTTAAACCAGTTTTCATGCCATCATAAAAAAAAAAAAAAATGCGATGCCCTAGAGTTGTTCTAGAACGATTCCAGAATCCTGCTACAGAGAGGGAAAAGGAAATTGGCAAAGGAATAATCGCTCTTTGAAATGACAGTTTCAGGCCATTTAGTCTTTTTTTTTTTTTTTTAAGAGAGAGGGAGGTAGAGAGAGAGAGAATTTTTTAATATTTATTTTTTAGTTATCGACGAGCACAACATCCCTGTCTGTATGTGGTGCTGAGGATCCAACCCGGGCCAGGCAAGCATGCTACCGCTTGAGCCACATCCCCAGCCCGCCCTTTAGTCTTAACAACAATGAAAAGAGGAAAGCTTTTATACATACTCCATAAAATCCTTCACTTTATCCACAAGGGAAGGTTTCTTGATCAGCTGTGGGTAGAGATTTATGAAGTGGTCATTCATGTGTCTGAAACGACAGATGAGAGAACTGTTAGATTCCTAGATTTCTTGTTGAATTTCTTCATCATGGCAATTTACCCAACTTTTTGGTTAAATAGTGTGCCTCCAATTACAAATCTTCTGTACTACATTTTTTAAAATAAACTAAACACACAATTTAAATTAAAAAAATATTTCTAACACATGGAAGGTATAGAATATAGCAAACAACCAAGTATTCACCACTTATTAGATCATTATATTTTGTCATATTTTCCATCTATATTTTAAGACATAAAACAAAATATTAGAAAGACTGAAGTCCCCGTATACACCTTCCTGACATTAATTCCCTCCTTTCTCCCCAGTGGTAACTGCAACCTTAAATCTGATATTGTTTCCCATGTATATTTTTATATAATCACTATACATATTTAAACCCTAAACATAATGTTTAGGGTTAAATGAATGTTATCATGCTGAAGAACAAAATATGAACAAAAATTGAACTTGATTTGTTTCTCTTAACATAAATTTTAGAGAAATACCTAAGTTACCATCTGCCCATTAAATTCATTCTTTTCCACTGCTGATGATATTGCATAGTATGACTATGCACCAATTCATGTATGCATTCCTCTCGGATATTTAATTAGTAACTAATTTTTCAATATTGTAATGCAATTTTAAGAATTGTTGTGTCTTTTTTTTTTTACACATTTGCCTGTTCTTTTAGAATATATGTGTGTATGTGTGTGTATAAAATTGGGAAATATTTCCAGGATATAGAAAAGCATAGACTTTATTGGTAAATTTATAAATACTCAAGGATCCACCACCTACATATATTAAATTGATACACACATGTACACACACACACACACACACACACACACAAAATCACTACTGGGATGAATATCATATATATGACACATCATATAAATATTTGTCAATATCTATTAATTTTTTATATGTATATTTTATGTTATGCATATATTTATGGACTTTTATACATAAAATTATTAGTTATTGCTAATTGTTCACCACACAGATTTACCAATTTATATTCTCAGACCTCTTCCTCTACCACCTCACCATCACTTGGTATTGTCAGACTTTGATTTTCAACAATTTGTTAGGTTTAAATAATTTCTCCATTTAATTTCCATTCCTCACAGAATTATTGGGTATTTGAGATTCTTTATGTTAAAACTTAAAAGTTAGAAATGACATCAATGCTTATAGCAGCATAATTCACAATAGCTAAACTGTGGAACCAACCTAGATGCTCTTCAATAGATAATAGATAAATGGATAAAGAAACTGTGGTATATATACACAATGGAATATTATTCAGCGATAAAAGAGAATAAAATTATGGCATTTCCTGGTAAATGGATGGTACAGGAGAATATCATGCTAAGTAAGCCAATCCCCCAAAAGGAAAGGCCGAATGTTTTCTCTGATAAGTGGATGCTGATCCATAATGGGGGTGGGACATGGGAGGAATGGAGGAACTTTGGATAGGGCAAAGGGGAGGGAGGAAAAGGGAGAGGGGGCATGAGGGTAGGAAAGATGATGGAATGAGATGTACATGATTACCTAGGTACATGTATGAGGACATGAATGGTGTGACTCTACTTCGTGTACAACCAGAGACATGAAAAATTGTGCTCCATTTGTGTGCTATGAATCTAAATGCATTCTGCTGTCATGTGTTGAGAGCCACAGCCAAAGGGGCCCCAGCAAACTTCCAGCTGATTGGCTCACTGTGGCCCCAGCAAACTTCCAGCTGCCAGCTGATGATTGGCTCACAGCGACCCCAGCAAACTTCCAGCTGCCAGCTGATTGGCTTCTCTGTGGTGATGCTCATTGGGCTGTTTCCCTCCCTTTCAGACCACGGAGCTGCTCATTGGGGGACTCTTTTGGCTCCGCCCATGTGACCCAGCCAATCGGCCTCAAGAGCAGGAGGAGTGTGTGTGTGGYGTGGGGGTTGAGAGGCTTGTGGGAAGCCGGTGGTGACAGTTGGGCTCTGAGGGAATTTCTGAAGAGCTCATGTGGTGCAGAGTGTGTTCTAAAAACAAAGTTCGTCTCTGCTTGATAAGTGGCTGGTGAATTGTGCCCAGCCAGACTGCGGCAGTCATGTATAACTAATTAGAACAAATAAATTAATTAAAAATTAAAAATAAAAATGTCTCAAATGCTTAGAATAAATATTTTTAGTTGATGAAAATAATCTATTTATACTTCCTATGATTTTAATATTATTGGATTTGGCTTTATAAGCTTTTGCTTTCTATTTCTTATCCCTTTCTTCATCTGCTTTTTTAGGCTTTCTTTATTTAGATAACACTGTCATCCATCTTCTATTCATATAATTATTTTAGAAGCCACTCATAACTACATATTTTCTTATAAAATCTAAATGAATTTTATAATTCTCTTTTCATCCAAATGTGAAGTATATTTTTGTAAGTCTTAGCTGTGGACTCTTTCCATCATGTTTTTGTTCAGAGATTTAGTTTTACCTTTTGAATGTAAAACTATATGTTTAAAATTATTTTTATTTTTTAATTTTCAAAATCAAGATTTTTGTTAATTTTTTTTGTTTCTTATATTATAACTATTGTTTCTTACATTTCAAAATTTCCTTCCTATTATTCTAACTAAAGTATATCCTTTAATAATTTAATAGAAGAATGGTAATTTGTTTCAATTTATATGTATGAACATATCCTTATTTTGATCTTACCTGGATAGTTTAAATAGTTATAAAATGCTAGTTAGATATTTTTTCTCAGTAAATATTTTATGACTCTATTATTTGTGATGAGAAGTATGCTATGTAGTTGGGATTCCTTTATAGTTAATGTCTTTATGATAGCTTTTAAGATTATTCTCTTTACCCTCAATTTTCTGTAGTTTCATTCACAGTGTTGTAGCAATTTAATAGATTGTGTCTTCCAACTAAGGAAGTGGCATTTGTTTTTTCTCAATTTTGATAAATTCTTAGCTATTACCCTATCAATTACTTCTTATCTGAAATTCCCTTCAGTCAATTTTTTGGTACTCCTAAAAGGCCAATGTTGGAATTTCTTAATCCAATTGCTATGTCTAATTAACAGGCTTTTAGTATTTTACCCTTTTTATATCTCTGGGGTGTATATTATATAAATTTCTCATTTTTTTTTCTGTGTCTAGTCCACAGTTTGCCTATTAGTGAGATTTTAAAAATGGCTTTCTATAAGTTTTTATAATATTTATAATAAGTCATTCAAAAATATTTACCTGTATTCTTTTTCTTCCTTGTTGTTCCATAAATTCTTCCTCAAGTTTTATTTTGCTTATAACTTTAAAGCAATCTAAGCAAATTTAAAGTTTTTGCTAAAGTGGTGCACACCTGTATTTCTAGCTACTTCAGAGGCTGAGGCAGGAGGATTGCAAGTTTAAGGCCAGTCTCAGCAACTTAGAGAGACCCTGTCTCAAATTTAAAAATAAGAAAAATKGGGGATGTAGTTCAGTGATAAAGCACCCCTAGGTTCAATCCCCAGCACCTCCAGATGAGATACATAACTGAAGTGATAACAATATTAATAGGCAAGATGAGTTTGCATACTCTGAGCAATGACCATACTGTTATAACTATCACCTTAAAAAGTATTCAATGTCTTGATGACAAGATTCACCCTGATTTTGTTTTGTGAAAAAATGCTATCTTAAAAATCAATGACTGTGTATAAGGAAATTTAAAAGATCTGTTGATTTAATACCACATAGATAAGCAAACCCCAGACTGCAGCAAATTATAGGTTAAACAGTTTCTTCAACAAATAAATTATGAGAAAGAAGAGGGAAATAATAGATTAAAAGTGACTTAAACATAATAAAAAAGAAATATACCAATCAGACTGACCATATTGTGATATTCATGAGACTACTGAAAAGTCAAATACAGATTGAATATATAAATATTCGAATAAAGGTGCCCACGTGGCGGGTGCAGAAGTTAAGTCCTGCAGACGCCAGCCACCTTTGCAACTCGCGGGAACCCTGAGCGGCTTGGCCCGCCCCGCCCGAACCGGCGGCGGGTGCAGAAGTTAAGTCCTGCGGACGCCAACCGCCTTTGCAACCAGCGGGATCCCTGAGCGGCTTGGCCCGCCCCACCCGAACCGGCAGCGGGTGCAGAAGTTAAGTCCTGCAGACGCCAGCCACCTTTGCAACCCGCGGGATCCCGGAGCGGCTTGGCCCGCCCCGCCTGAACCAGCAGTCCTCCGCCATCTGGGCTCCCCCGGGAGACCCAGCTCTCGCCCTGGGAGAAGCGGCCCCACCCACCCGGGTCCCAAACACGCGACCGCAGCTACTCGGCGATAAAGGTGCCCCCGCAGCGGGTGCAGGAGTTAAGTCCTGCTGATACCAGCCGCGTTTGCAAGCCGCCGGCACCCAGTGCGGCTTGGCCCACCCCGCCTGAACCGGCAGTCGGCCTCCACCATCCGGGCTCCCCCGGGAGG